AAAAAAAAAAAAAAAAAAAAAAAAAAAAAAAAAAACAAAGTTCAACATATTATACCGTGAATAATTCTTCGAAAATACGGAATTTTTTCTTAAAATATTCATGTTACATATAGGATATAAGCAATTGTATAAAAGCCTTTATCGTTAACATTACAAAATTATAACAATTGGATAGCGATAACGTTGACGTCACATTTTTATGTTTATCGACAACAAACAGGTTTAAAAATTCATATAACAGTTGCTTCACGTGAAGAATACAATGGCCAGTAAATGCTGTAGCGACAAGGATGGCCCTCGATGGGGATGGGTTGTTGCTTTTTCTGCTTTCTGGATAAATATGTTTATGTTTGGAGTATTAAGATCGGCGGGTGTATTTTATGTAGCTTTAATGTCTATGTTCCACTGCACTCCTTCCGAAGCTGCTTGGCCCGTCAGTCTAGTTCCCACAACAATGTGTATAATGGGTGAGTGAATAGCATGCATACAATATTAAGCATCAACTTTAATAAATTGATAAATTGTGTTCTTTAAAAATTCACAATGATTTCATGTAATCATGTTCTTGATTTTTAGAATTAATTATTCTCTTTCGCTTCTTTTATAATTTGATTTTTCAAACAGAAAACAGGGTCTAGCTGACATGGACACTTGTTGATATATAAATTCAAAATGATAATAACACAATAAAAATTTATACTCCTAGTATTAATGCTTGGTCTATTCATTTTTATCATTATGTTTCTCTTAAAAATCCTAACTTGTTTTTTATAATCGTGTTTTATTCTAACATATTTTTTAAGAACTCGACTTTTGTTTAGTTATGAAAAAAAAGAAAGGTGAAGTCATTAGCTTTTAACTACAATAAGAAAATGTAAAAAGTATACAAGTATATAATAGTTTGAATGGCATTGTTTAATTCGTATTAAAAACTTCCATTCGTGCAATTTTGTAATGTTTTTATCAATATTCCTTTATTTTCTAGCGAAATATCCTTCTGATCTAGTTGATATTTTAAAAGATAATGAATAAATGAGATAATTTATTAATTGTCAATTTATTTTTCAAAGTTTATTCACATTTTTTTTTGGATCATAAGCCAATAATTATTGAAATATTTTCATATTTACTACTATATTTTAATATGACAAAGATAATTATACTTTTCTATAAGTATACATTTTGAATTATATTTTTTATTAATTTCAAACTTATTTATTTGCATAAGTCCAAATCATAAGCTTTTTTAATAATAATTCTTTTAATTAAAAAGAAGATTGCATATATTTTGCTTGAGCTTCTATTATAAACTTCTAATAGCTTCATTCTTTATTGTTTGAATTTGATTTATGTATTCTTATGAGGTTTAATAATATAATTCAATATTTGGGCCTTATATGAAGCATTTATATTTATTATGTAAGTTTTAAAGTTTTCATTTACAAGAGAATATAAGTTGTAAATTTATTCTATCTGGAAAAATTAGACCTTGATTTACCTAGAATTAAATCCTTCATAAATTTATAAATTCTATTATGCTTTCATTTTTCATAGAGATAACAATTATAAGTTGCACTTAACAAGTTTTGTTAGCAATTACAAGTTATATTTAATATTTCTGGTTAAATATTATTATAAAAATTCCCTTAATGAAATCTTTTTTTAATAATAATTTATTACTGAGTTAATATAATACAATTTAATATTAAATTTTAAGATTTCCATTTCCCCCCTTTGCTTTCATTATTTAAATAATAAAAATAAACTGAATTAGAATTAAATGTCTGCAACAATTATTGAATATAAATATACTAAGAAGGGTTTTTGCAATCCCCATATAGATTATACAATACAGTAAATATCTTATTTTTAAAATATGTCCTTGAATTTTAAACTTTATTCCTTATTAGTTCTTTTTAACCTGAAAATAAATAACATTATGCTAAAAAATTGATAAGCAAGTATCTTTAAAGATTATTTACAGAACTAATATGTATGGATGTTTCTGTGTGTGTGGGGGGGAGCATAGTTTTGTTCACCCTCTTTGAAGTTTAATAATTCCTGTGATTTTTGTCGAAAATTTTTGAAATTTTGTAGGGAAGTTTATGTATTAGAGAGATTAATGCTATTAAATTTTAATGGTTAAAAGTCGAGAGAAGAGATAAAAGGAGTCTTGTATATCTTCAGTAGGATCAGACTTAATAGCGATTTTAATCGTTATTATCATTTAAAATTTTTATAAAATTCATCCCTGCCCTCAAAATTGTCAATTTATAATAATTATAATAATTAAAAATATAAAAAGTTTTTAATAATAATATATCATAACAGATGGCACCACACACGCAGTTTTAAATGTTGTCGGGAAAGTTAAGTAACTCGTTGCTGGATTTTTTTTATTAAAAAAATAATGATGATAGTAATAAAATAGAAACACTCGATTTTTCAGAAATAATAAAGCTTGATATTGTGATCATCAATTGATTCAGATACTAAATTAATTTTGAATAAATTACATCATAATAATATATAGAATATAAGATAGTGCTTCATTATTCAAAGATCAAGGATCGAGGGAAAAGCAAGGATAAACGTGCGATTATTTTAACTCTTTACATAATCTTTACTATATTCGATTATACAGATTTACTCTCTATGAATATACCCAAACTCTACAAAATCTCACGATATTAGCGAGTTTTGCGGCCGAAGTTTTCATCTGTAAAACGTGAACGTCGAACGTCGAGCGCTCGACGTTCGACGTTCACGTTTTACAGATGAAAACTTCGGCCGCAAAACTCGCTAATATCGTGAGATTTTGTAGAGTTTGGGTATATTCATAGAGAGTAAATCTGTATAATCGAATATAGTAAAGATTATGTAAAGAGTTAAAATAATCGCACGTTTATCCTTGCTTTTCCCTCGATCCTTGATCTTTGAATAATGAAGCACTATCTTATATTCTATATATTATTATGATGTAATTTATTCAAAATTAATTTAGTATCTGAATCAATTGATGATCACAATATCAAGCTTTATTATTTCTGAAAAATCGAGTGTTTCTATTTTATTACTATCATCATTATTTTTTTAATAAAAAAAATCCAGCAACGAGTTACTTAACTTTCCCGACAACATTTAAAACTGCGTGTGTGGTGCCATCTGTTATGATATATTATTATTAAAAACTTTTTATATTTTTAATTATTATAATTATTATAAATTGACAATTTTGAGGGCAGGGATGAATTTTATAAAAATTTTAAATGATAATAACGATTAAAATCGCTATTAAGTCTGATCCTACTGAAGATATACAAGACTCCTTTTATCTCTTCTCTCGACTTTTAACCATTAAAATTTAATAGCATTAATCTCTCTAATACATAAACTTCCCTACAAAATTTCAAAAATTTTCGACAAAAATCACAGGAATTATTAAACTTCAAAGAGGGTGAACAAAACTATGCTCCCCCCCACACACACAGAAACATCCATACATATTAGTTCTGTAAATAATCTTTAAAGATACTTGCTTATCAATTTTTTAGCATAATGTTATTTATTTTCAGGTTAAAAAGAACTAATAAGGAATAAAGTTTAAAATTCAAGGACATATTTTAAAAATAAGATATTTACTGTATTGTATAATCTATATGGGGATTGCAAAAACCCTTCTTAGTATATTTATATTCAATAATTGTTGCAGACATTTAATTCTAATTCAGTTTATTTTTATTATTTAAATAATGAAAGCAAAGGGGGGAAATGGAAATCTTAAAATTTAATATTAAATTGTATTATATTAACTCAGTAATAAATTATTATTAAAAAAAGATTTCATTAAGGGAATTTTTATAATAATATTTAACCAGAAATATTAAATATAACTTGTAATTGCTAACAAAACTTGTTAAGTGCAACTTATAATTGTTATCTCTATGAAAAATGAAAGCATAATAGAATTTATAAATTTATGAAGGATTTAATTCTAGGTAAATCAAGGTCTAATTTTTCCAGATAGAATAAATTTACAACTTATATTCTCTTGTAAATGAAAACTTTAAAACTTACATAATAAATATAAATGCTTCATATAAGGCCCAAATATTGAATTATATTATTAAACCTCATAAGAATACATAAATCAAATTCAAACAATAAAGAATGAAGCTATTAGAAGTTTATAATAGAAGCTCAAGCAAAATATATGCAATCTTCTTTTTAATTAAAAGAATTATTATTAAAAAAGCTTATGATTTGGACTTATGCAAATAAATAAGTTTGAAATTAATAAAAAATATAATTCAAAATGTATACTTATAGAAAAGTATAATTATCTTTGTCATATTAAAATATAGTAGTAAATATGAAAATATTTCAATAATTATTGGCTTATGATCCAAAAAAAAATGTGAATAAACTTTGAAAAATAAATTGACAATTAATAAATTATCTCATTTATTCATTATCTTTTAAAATATCAACTAGATCAGANTTCGATTTAATAATTGCAAGCAGTTGATTTGTAAATGTTACTATATCATTATTATATCATAAATATTAATATAATAAAATAATTCTGGATGATAGTTATTGAATTAAATAGTTTTCTGTCATTCCAGTTGGTTTAATAGCGAGTTTTGCGGTCGAAGTTTCTTTTAACTTGGTGAAACTTTATTTTAACAAAACCAAGAAAAAAGAATTCAGAAACTATTACAATCCTCACTGATTAAGAACACAGCTAGTGTCCTGTTACGATATTAATCTTTATGTATTTAAATTAGTTATTTGTCCGTATATCATTGCAAATTATTTGTCTGTATACAATGAAATTCAATTGATAATATTCTTGAAATACAATCCATGTTTTTTCTCCGACATTTTAAAACAAAATGATTTCATTTTTTAACACTAGTATCACGTCAAGACGTTCACACGTTACAATATTTCTATATAAGATTTTTTTTCGTATATGGTGACCGTCTTTTTCTCATGCTGAGAAACCGTGACATTATCCGGAAATACGATTCACAATTCCTTGGGAATTTTGATTCACTAATTGGGAAGCACTTGCTTAGAACACATTAATAACAAATTATTAGTTTATATATATATATAGGCCTAAGCTATCAGTCGGAAATTTTAAGACAAAACACTGATTTTAATTTCATGATAAAGCATTACAAAAATTTTCTATTCTCTTATAGTTTAATACAGCAGGATTTCCAACCTGTTCGCTAGCGAACCGCGAGGGGTCATTCGCTTTATCTGGGGTCGATAAATTACTAAAGGTCATTTGGGGGTTAGAAGACAAATCTATCTTTATTATATTTAAAAACATAATGAAAATTATATATATATATATATCCTAATTATAATTTATTCTTATTTTCTATCAGTATAAAAGAAGGTTCAGTGAATTAAAATAACTTCGGGTTAACAAGAAAAAGAGGTTTGAAACACTTGATTTAAAGTAGGCTGTATTGTAAATTCGAAATCGAAATCTTGACATTTATGAACAAATTTAAAATATTTTTAATTTAAAAAAAAAAATGAAATTATCCTATATTAGTGAACATATTTCGACTTTCCATCTAAATAAAAGTCTTTTCTTCGAAATGTTTAATAGTATTTGGATTTACAGTCGATCCCCGTATAACACTGATGATTATTCCGTTTTATATGAATTCAATGTTTTACGAGTCACTTAATTTTTACAAATACGTGAGCCGTTCACAGCCCGGCACACGTATTTGTAAAATCTAAGTGACTCGTACAACATTGAATTCATATAAAACGGAATAATCATCAGTGTTATAGGGGGGGTCGACTGTAATTGTGTAAGATTTAAAGGCTTGTTTAATTAATTTTATAAATTACGACCACATTTTTAATTTTTACATCTTTATATACACTTATTTTAGTATACTTTATGATAAGTATTTTTAACAAAAAAAAAAAAAATAACGTAACATCTTTAACACACGAAAACTTCGTAAGCACCAAAATCAAATTTTACAGGAGCAACAAAAAGCAATTAATAATGTATATAATAGCGTAAGATTTTCCTGTGTGAATGTTCATTGTAAACTGTAATCATGTAATTAACTAGATTTATTACTGACTAAACTCAACAACAGAAAAAAAAATGTAGTCGTTTACGGAGGTTCCCTCGGCAATGTTGACTGCCCAATTATATACGAGTTTATTACAAATAACATTATAACTAATTCTATTGGTCGGATGCTTCACGAAATTTTTACATAACATGCATACTCCAAGGACCTGCATAAAACAAATTCGACCCACTTACGATGTTTTCGCATGCCATGTTTCTTTTAATTTTCCCATTCGATTTAATAATTGCAAGCAGTTGATTTGTAAATGTTACTATATCATTATTATATCATAAATATTAATATAATAAAATAATTCTGGATGATAGTTATTGAATTAAATAGTTTTCTGTCATTCCAGTTGGTTTAATAGCGAGTTTTGCGGTCGAAGTTTTCATCTCTGAAACGTGAACGTCGAACGTCGAGCGCTCGACGTTCGACGTTCACGTTTCAGAGATGAAAACTTCGACCGCAAAACTCGCTATTAAACCAACTGGAATGACAGAAAACTATTTAATTCAATAACTATCATCCAGAATTATTTTATTATATTAATATTTATGATATAATAATGATATAGTAACATTTACAAATCAACTGCTTGCAATTATTAAATCNTTTTAATTTTTTTTTTTTTTTTTTTTATCTTAAGAGAAATATATTTATATTATAAATGCAACTGATAGATCCATTAGTTTGTTTTGTAGCTTATATATCAATAATTCTTAATATTAATTTCTTCACAGTACAAAATACAATTACCAATAATTATTTACTTTCTGATAACTTTGTTAACTTTTACAATGTTTGTTTTGACAATTTTAAGGTAATAAATATAGGAATTTTAATTAATATATTAGAGAAAACGAAAATTCTCGCTTAATATTAAAAATTGTCTGAATGACCTTTCATAATTTAATTAAGAATTCGGATCCATTAATTAAATTTTATATGTAAAAATAAGCAAATTTTATCTAATTTAATTACGTATATTTAAAAATATTGAAGATATTAAAGTATCTAATACCAATGATTTACTGTAGATTTCTGTATATAAATCTTATTTTAAAAATTCTGTTTTCAAACATTTAAATTAAGAAGTTTATTATTATTTTTTTTTTTCTTTATTAAATTAATAAACTTTCTTTTAATTTATCATTATTTTTTCACTATTCTTTTTTAATTCTAATTTATATAAAAACTATATAATTATTGAAGATTATCATTAATAAAAAAATGAAATAAATTTGTTTTATTTATATAATAAATACGAAAAAATAAAAAATAAACATTCTGTTATGTTCTAAAGAAAAATCCAAGTTCGGGGTTTTAATGATTATATTTGATAAGAATCGAACACGTATTATTAATTATCTACTTTATGGGACTTTGTTTCTTATTAAAGTTGTCCTTGATGTTTTTCTCTTAGCCTTTACTTCATTTATTACGAAACAAAGAAGACCACATGTATTTCCTATTCTATTATATTACTAGAAAGCAAAGTCTTCTTTATTTCCTATTATATGAAATATAGGAACTTACGACTTTTAGTAATTTAATTATATTGTAATCTAAATCATTTAGTTATATTTGAAACTTAAATGTTTCAGGCTGAGATGTAGAAAAAAATGTTGTCAAATAGCATACGAGTACACAAGAAATACTATTGTATTGTACAGTACATAGACCTAAATCTGGATCTAATGTCAATCCATGCAATTGATGTATCGCAGTTTAAATTTTATGCTATCTGAAGGAGCATTTAGCAAATATATACAGTATTAAATTATTGAATACACATATTCAGTTTATTAAATATTCACTCTATAAAACAATGCAACATTATAGTAATTTATTACTTAGTATGAATATCAACAATTTTAACAATTCAAAACTAAATACATCTGTGAAATATTCATCCAAATAATAAATGAAAGTTTATATGGTGACTGCGATTAATAATAAAATCAGATGTAGGGAATATTTTTTTAATTCTGAAAAACAGAAAAACATCCCCCTTTTGTGTGTTTTTTCTTATTTTTTTAGATATTAAAATTAAAAAATAACCAAAAAAAAATGTGAATAAACTTTGAAAAATAAATTGACAATTAATAAATTATCTCATTTATTCATTATCTTTTAAAATATCAACTAGATCAGAAGGATATTTCGCTAGAAAATAAAGGAATATTGATAAAAACATTACAAAATTGCACGAATGGAAGTTTTTAATACGAATTAAACAATGCCATTCAAACTATTATATACTTGTATACTTTTTACATTTTCTTATTGTAGTTAAAAGCTAATGACTTCACCTTTTTTTTTTCATAACTAAACAAAAGTCGAGTTCTTAAAAAATATGTTAGAATAAAACACGATTATAAAAAACAAGTTAGGATTTTTAAGAGAAACATAATGATAAAAATGAATAGACCAAGCATTAATACTAGGAGTATAAATTTTTATTGTGTTATTATCATTTTGAATTTATATATCAACAAGTGTCCATGTCAGCTAGACCCTGTTTTCTGTTTGAAAAATCAAATTATAAAAGAAGCGAAAGAGAATAATTAATTCTAAAAATCAAGAACATGATTACATGAAATCATTGTGAATTTTTAAAGAACACAATTTATCAATTTATTAAAGTTGATGCTTAATATTGTATGCATGCTATTCACTCACCCATTATACACATTGTTGTGGGAACTAGACTGACGGGCCAAGCAGCTTCGGAAGGAGTGCAGTGGAACATAGACATTAAAGCTACATAAAATACACCCGCCGATCTTAATACTCCAAACATAAACATATTTATCCAGAAAGCAGAAAAAGCAACAACCCATCCCCATCGAGGGCCATCCTTGTCGCTACAGCATTTACTGGCCATTGTATTCTTCACGTGAAGCAACTGTTATATGAATTTTTAAACCTGTTTGTTGTCGATAAACATAAAAATGTGACGTCAACGTTATCGCTATCCAATTGTTATAATTTTGTAATGTTAACGATAAAGGCTTTTATACAATTGCTTATATCCTATATGTAACATGAATATTTTAAGAAAAAATTCCGTATTTTCGAAGAATTATTCACGGTATAATATGTTGAACTTTGTTTTTTTTTTTTTTTTTTTTTTTTTTTTTTTTTTT